AGCCCTACTTAAAAAATTAATGATCTGCAAGGGAGAGAGGACAAACTACTTCTCTGTTATGTACAAAAAGGCCCTGATGACCACAGCCTGGGTCCCTTTCCAGATGATGTCATCAACAGTCTAAATAATAAATTTTTAACGATGTGGAAAAAAAAATAAAAGAGGGGCACTCTGTTTCAATAAGGAGTAAAAGTAGCTGGTGGCAAGAGTCTAAGGAAAATATATGGTTGGTGAGGTTTTTGCCCTGTGTAATTAGATTATCCCAAATGTAGGAGTGTACTGCAAAAGGCACACTGAAATGCCAGTAATTGAGAGCTCTGTGTCTTCTCTGCCACATACCCATGCAGAGTGGAAAATTGGAATACTTGGGATATATACGGCAGAGGGGCTATTCTATAAACATGGYTGCTAATAATAGGCAGTTAAGATTAGAAAGGAAAGCATGGGCTCTCATCAGCCCAGGAATTGGTAGATATTTTCCCCACATAAATAACAGTACACAAGAAATCTATTCAAATAGATTTGTGTTTGGTTGAAAAATGTATGCAAGAGTACTCATACTGGCTCTTTGATGCTGCTTAAATTACTAACAACACATTTATTTTTAAATGCACRCAATTTTGTTTTGTAGTTACTCTCTTGGAAAAGTGTTGCCCGTTGACACGAATGTATTGCACAGGTGAGGTCAACTTGGGGAGGGCTGTGTAGACTTCAGTGGTGTGGGTTTTTGGGACACTGTGCCTCCAGCACTGACTGAATTATTTTGTTTTTCCATTTCACACTGACTYGCAATCATGGAGATTTTATCCCATGGGCACTTGCCCTGGCATTCCAGTTAAAAATTTTGCAAAAGTCCAGGTTGAACCGTGGCTAATAAGGGAGTAATGCAGGATACCAGAATGCACCTGATATTATTTTAGCTGTATTTTAAGTGTTTTGACTTCCAGGGCCTAAGCTCCAGTTTACTAAGTTTCCCTGTAGAGGTGATGCTCTCCATGATGAACTTCCATGAAAACTAAGGAGGCAAGAGGGTAACTAGTCTGATACGGAAGGCAAGGGCTCATTGATCTGAAATCAGCACAGAGTTCATACCAAAGCTTCCATTTCTTGAATCAATCTTGTCTCTTCCTTGCTAAATCTATTAAACTCCCAAGTTTTAATGGACCACAGCTATTTGGATCTCAGGCCGTAAAAAAAAAACAGATGTGTTTCATGAGCTTTGGGGCTTTGTAATAGGAGATTTCCATGAGTTTTAACACCCAAATCTACCAGTTTCTCAATCTGTAAGGGATAGATTTGTGCCATGTTGTTTAGGTAGCTGATCCTAATTTACTGTAGTTGTCAAGACAGATTTTCTGTAAAAGTCACAGAATCACAGAATATTCAAGGTTGGAAGGGACCTCTAGAGATCATCTAGTCCAACCTTCCTGCTCAAGCAGGCACACCTAGAGCATGTGGCACAGGGTGGCATCCAGGYGGGTTTTGAAGACCTCCAGAGTAGGAGACTCTGCAACCTCCCTGGGCAGCCTGTTCCACTGATCTGTCACCCTCACAGTAAAGAAGTTGCTCCTCACCTGGAGACGGAACTTCCTTTGCTCCAGCTTATGGCCATTACCCCTTGTCCTATCGCTGGCCACCAATGAAAACAGCCTGTCCCCTTCCTCCCTGCATTCTCCCTTCCTGAACTTATACAGCGCAGGGCTACGAGGATGATCAGGGGCCTGGAACATCTGCCCTATGAGCAAAGGCTGAGAGAGCTGGGYCTGTTCAGCCTGGAGAAGAGGAGGCTGAGGGGGGACCTGATCAGCGTGTATAAATACCTCAAGGGAGGCAGTGAGGAGGAGGGGGGCGGCCTCTTTTCAGTGGTGGGCAGGGATAGGACTAGAGGAAATGGCTTCAAACTGAAGCATCGGAAGTTCCACAGGAACTTAAGGAAGCATTTCTTCACTGTGAGGGTGACAAAACACTGGAACAGGCTGCCCAGAGAGGTTGTGGAGTCTCCTTCTTTGGAGATCTTTAAAAGCCGCTTGGATGCAGCCCTGTGCCACGTGCTCTAAGTGACCCTGCGTGAGCAGGGGGGTTGGACTAGATGACCTCTGAGGTCCCTTCCAACCTTAAGCATTCTATGATTCTATGATTCTATGATTCTATATTAATCAGATCCCCTCTCAGCCTTCTCTTCTCCAGCTCACTCAGCCTCTCAAAGTCAAGACCTCTCAGCCTGCTATTGCCTTAAGGAAGAAAAGACTGGATATTTAATGCTGTAAATATTTTATTCTTGCTTTGCCACACAAACCTTGCATGGCCTTTCAAAAATAACTCGGTTCTATTATGCCCCAGTTTMCCCAAACTTACTTTGAGTAAGTTGGGGATAACGCTATTTCTGAGAGTGGAACATATAAGACTCATGAAGAAAAAGGAAAGTTATGACTAGGATGATGGGGAAAAAAAATGTCTTATGTGAGGCCCTATTATTTTGTTTAACTGAGTCCTTTCCTTTTAACTGTTTTTATTGCTCCTTAAATAGTMCTTTTTTATTTCCTTTCAGTTTCATTCTGGGATACAAAGGCAAAAGTTTTGACTCCCCTCAGCTATGTGAATCTCTTGGTTGCATCCTCTGTTGTGGCTTCTGAGGGAAAAAGTCACTTTTGAAAGAATTTGTTAATTTTCAGGGTGACATTCAAAGAGGCAAACAAAGATGCCAAGTACCAACTCTCAGATTTATAGCCTGCCAAGTTCACATTTTCCTCYAGACCTTCTCTGTTTGTCAGTATCAGGTCTAGCAGCGCCCCTCCCCTTGTTGGCTCCTCAACCACCTGCATCAAGAAGTTATCTGCAGTGGTCTGCAGGAACCTCCTGGACTGTCTGGTCCTGGCTGTGTGGTTATCCCAGCAGATATAAGGGTGGCTGAAGTCCTCCAGGAGGACCAGGGCCTGTGATCTGGAGGCTTCTTGTAGCTGCCTGTAGAAGGCCTCATCCACTTCTTCTTCCTGGTCAGAAGGCCTGTAGTAAACTCCCACCACAGTGTCACCCTTGTTGGCCTGCCCTTTAATCCTCACCCACAGGCTCTCTACCCATGATCCATCCTTCCCTTTGCTCATCTCCATTCATTCCAGTTGTTCTCTCACATAAAGAGCAACTCTGCCACCTCGCCTTCCTGGCCTGTCCTTCCTGAAAAGCCTAAAGTCCTCCATGGCCACATACCTGTCATGGGAGCTGTCCCACCAGGTCTCAGTAATTGCAATGAGATCATGGCCTTGCAACCACACACACACCTGCAATTCCTCTTGTTTATTCCCCATGCTGTGTGCATTTACGTAGAGGCATTTCAGCTGGGCTCCCAATGTGCCTCTCATTCTTGTTGGGGCAGCTGCAACCTGACCTGATTTTCAGTGGGACCCGTATTAGAAAGCAAGAACCATCRGACCAGGTCTTTGGCAGTGGAAGAATATGTGTGTGAAAATGAGGCCTTCTCTGAAAAGTGAGTTATATCCTTTCTTAAAATTACATATAGCAAGAAATGACTGGGAAGGCGGCAATTCTTTTTGTGTTAACACAAACTTACCAGAGGGGCTAATATAAAGGAAGAAAATTGATGCTGGCTTTATTCTGCTTGTGGTGAAGAAATGTGTATAAATTGTTCCCAGGGAAAGAGTTCAACAGTCTGATATACACACATACACACACACACATATACATATATATATATATATATATATATATCAGGCTGATATATATATATATGTGTGTGTATATATATATATCAGACTGATATGTATGTGTACAAAATCCTGAAAAAAAAGAAACAGCCATGGGAATACAGAGGTTGTTAACAGTTTTTAGTTTTCTGCAAATCAACACAGATTSCATAGATATTTGCTTAGTGCCATACATTTCATTGGTTTCATTGCAGCAGAAGGGAAAAGACCTTTGTTAGGTGGTAGAAATTGTATCTACTTTGCTTGTATTGTAGCACCATGAATATCGTGTCTAATACATTTTGGTGGGAAGCCATTGGAGTTACACAAGGGATGAATTTTGRCTCTTTGGGAAAATTAAATCTATCTATCTATATAATTGAAAAAAGTTATAGTAACATTTTATATGATTTGAGACATGTTCTATTCTTTACAGAAACCCAAATCTGTAAAAAAGCAATTAGAAGTGCTTCTCTGAAAAAAAGGCAATTGAATGCAATTGAATGCAGTGAATGAACTGCAGGAATTGTACACTTTCCAGAAAATGGTGGTAGTGAAGCATTTGTGGGATCCATAAAGTCACCATAAATTCCTAACTGAATATGGATTCACTCTCCAACTCTAAAACCACAAGATTTATTTCCTGCTGGCAAAGCAGGAGAAGTTTGCAAAACTAGATCTGTCTCATGCGTGCCAGCAGGTGGTGAAAGCACCAGTGTGTTCCCAAGTATGTAATGGGAGCTGGAACACACCACTCCACGTCACCTTCACTGGCTAGTTCCTTTCGGATGAGAATAAAAGATAGGCCTGGATTTTCGTTCTTGTTGCATGTCTGCCAATGCTTTCTGCACATGTAGTTCTGTACAGATAAGGTTTATTGCCATACAGTTTGTACTATTGGAAAAAAAAAAAAGAGTAATACAATGGATATGCTGTTGTTTTCACTCAGGAAGATCTAGTTTCAGCTCAAGCACTAGCTTCTAAGTCACACAAGAGCTGTCCTTTTCATGCAGTAGGGATGCTCATGTGGCATCATCTGATGATGGATGCATKGATGTGGACATATGCTTTAAGAGGAGGTGTTGCTGTGGATAGAATGTGTGCTTTTTAAGCTTTCTTTAAGTGTTAAGTCCTTAAGCATCTCCTTAAGTTCCTTTCACCCCTTCCTCTGGCTCCTAATTCCAGTGTTATTCAGGCTTCCTGTTCAGAAGCACTGTCTTCCRCTGTGAGTTGCTAAGCTACATCTCACTTCATGTTCCGATCTTTTAGCCATGCTGCGCTTCTTATAACACTGGATGGAAGAAGGAAGCACAATACTTCTGACACCCCAAACTCTTAGCTGCTGGCTGCTTGGTGGTGCCAGAAATATGCTTAGTAACCAAGATCTGAAGTGGGAAAGCAGGACAGTAAGGCACAACTTCATGTCAAGCCAAATAAGGTAGGAAGATATGGATTAAAGGTATCTGCAGTGAAATGGAGAGCTCCACTGCTGCAGAAATTTGTAACTCTTTGGGCCCTGTCAGAGATGAATGGATATGTCTGTTTCCTAAGTCATCTGCATACTTGGGTAAATGAGATTGCATTGATTTAATGTGTCTTCAAGAGTCTCTTTACAACCACAGGAGCTAGAAATGTCTTTTGTTGTTGTTGCTTTTTTTTAATGAAAGCTGACGTTCTGGAGCATAAGTCAGCAGGAAGCGGGGTAAGTTTATTGGCTGTTTTGAGGAGGCCTGGAGAATAATTCTTCCTTTCTCCTGTCTTTTGTCTGTTCAGATTGTAAATTCATTGAAGCAGGGACTGCTTTCTACTGTTTGTATGCAATGTCTCTGTGATCTTAGCTGACACCCCTAAGGCTTAACAACATATAAATGTGGATAGTGGTCTAACATTATATGTAAAAAGTGGAGGATTAGTTATTTAAATGAATTATCACCCTAAAAAGAAAAAGTCTGAATCCTGGGGGAAAAGATGTCAGAAACAAAAAGGGTAGGTTAAGGCTTTATGCCAAAATCTGGGTACTCCTCTACTGAGAACAYAGAATGGTAGTGAGGTGATTGTGCCCTGTTTTAAGGTAAAGGGCATGGTCTGCTTTCACGCTTTTTGAACTCTCAAATTTCTGTAAGCTGAGTTCACTGCTAGCAGTGATTCAGAGCAGTTTCCTTGCACAGCCTGCGTGATTGCTCTCCAGTGCACAAATGGTCAGTCCTTGGGTTCCAAGCTGTTGTGCACATTTAATAGCTCAGAGAAGATGAGTAGAGTGGTGGGAGTCCTCAAAATCCCAGAGCAGGTTTACTAATCTGCATTGTGTTAAAAATGGTCATCCTCGTCCTGCTTGGCCAGCTGGCTGCTCCGAGKCCTCTTCTGCTTGTGAATCCATAGCCTGTTGATACTTTGCTTGGCTGAGACACTGCTGAGACTCATGGGTCCATCCATAGTACAAGGCAGTGGAAAATTGCTCTTGTTTATATTCTAGTCAAACTCATCAGCAGTAAAACTTTCTGTTGCTCAGATGTTCAAAATCATCATGAAAGACAGTGGCCAGCCTTTCTCTCTAACAGCATTACACTGGCGAGCTTGAGGTGAGCTGTGTGCTGTACAGCTGGGTCAGCTCRAAATGCACTGTGGTTGGCTTTCCAGTGCGATGCAGTCCTAAAGTTGGCAAACTACCATCRAACAGCCCTATTTGTATGTTTCTTGGTGTGGTGAAGGCCTTGAAAGCTTTTGGTTATTCTTTCTATCATTGCCTCATAAAGCAGGTGTTGATGGGACACGTCGTATCCTCAGTCGCTCCTTGATAGATTCTGCAGGCCCAAATACCCCTGGTTGCACTGCAGCTCTGTTAGATCAGACATCTGTATACCTGTATCTCTGAGGGATCAATTCTGAGACACATTACACTTGTTTTTCCTCTTCTAGAGGAATCAGCACAGTTCAGGCAGACTAGAGAGCCTCACTCCAAAGATCAGTGTACAAGAGCCAAGCTGAGCCCAGCCATCCATCAGCAGATAGTCCTGCTGTGGGAGGAGGCAGAAACAGTCTTTGCTGTCAGCTTCGATGCCTGCAACAGCATCACAAAACTACTCACTGCATATTGGTGTGTGAGAAGGTCCTCCCTGACAGCTCTGGCAAAATAGCTGAGCTTCTCCTGGAGTTACTGTGGTACTTTGAGATAAGAACATTCTTGCCAGCTGCTCCAAACAGCACTCCCAGCGGTGGAGAAATTTGAAACTGTTACTGTAAATACAAAAGGAAAGACATACTTGGCCTCCCTTTACATTAGAGCTGGCTCAGAAGAATGTCTGCTTAGCTGTTCCATTGCCAAGACGCTGGATTGTAGTCAGATAGTACACATTGCAAAAGAACCAGAGCGCACTGAGATCTGTTGGGTTTTTTTAACAATAGTTTATTTGTGTTTCAAAGGGATAGTTACAGGAATCCAGATCAATATGCTTGTCCAGAACTGTGCCTTCCTATTTTAGGCCCTGGATGAATAAGAGGTTACTTGAGTTCACATGCAGATAGAGGAATCGGCACCTGCAGTAATACAGCCTCACAGGCCTGCTACTTTTCATTTTTAAAAGTGAATGTGAAAGAGCTACAGAAGTGAAGTTGACATTGTTCTGGTTCCTGGTGTTTTATTTTTTCCCAATGCRGTCTGTGTGGCAATGCATGTAGTGTGAGGCTCTTTTTGAATAATAAACTCATGTCTCAACAGGAGATGACAGGAGCTGAGCACTTCAGAAAGCACTGCCCTTACAGCATGTCTAAGTGGATGCACTGGTTGAACCATTTTAGACACACTTCCTGCATATGGGGTTTGATATGAATCAAATGCATCTGAAAGGGAAGAGAATCTCTGAGTTTTATTGATATGCTCTAATTTATTTTTAATGGAAAAACCTAAAAATACAACTATGCTTTGATGTAAAGGTGTTTGGCATTTTGCAAGCCCAGATTTTGAGACCATCTGTATATTGTCAGGATTTCGGTGTTCTATTCTATTTGGTGGGAGAAGAATAACGGTTCAACTAATGCAGTTAGTTGCATGGGCCAAAAAGATTTTTTTCTAAGTGGTTCTGTTATGAGATCTTTTGAAAATAGAATTCTCATAATGGATTGTAAAGGCTACAAAATTAGACCTGGAATTGCCTTGAAAATTTAGTTTAATGTCCTGCTGACTCTCTACTAATCTTGAGATGCCTTCAAGGGACATAGGACAACAGGAATACACCAGCAGTCAGGGTAAGAGTAATATATGTACTCTAGAAAATTTCCAGCCCAGATTTATGGCAGGCAATAGATTCCTGATGTCTTTGGAGCAGGCATGCCCCTTTGGTGCWCCTGAGTTTAATTGTAATTTAAGCATACACATTCACCCAAGGGCCTGACTTGAGCAGTGTGTTCCAATGCTGCAGTGTTTCAGAGTTCCGCTTCTGGTGTTATCCGGCACATTTAGATGTCCCTACTCTTGTGATGAAAAATTTTGGCAGGTGCACAATGTACTGCTTTCAACTGCTTAGCATAGCTGATGAAGACATCAATCAATTGACTAAATCTGACTAAATCAATCAATTGCTGCAGGATTTCCAGTTCTTGCTTTGAGAAGGGCTCCTTTGATCTTGGCCCACTTTTCTCCATTTTTCTCCATCCCCCGTGTGCTTGTTCAGTGTCCAGCATGGCAAGAGGGGCAGTGACTGGTGACGGCCAGGTCACAAGAGCAATAAGCACTGCAGCAGCTAAGGGGAAGCTGCCATTCATCAAGGGTTCACAGTGTTCACTWAGAATTTTATTAGAAAACAAATGAGCACAAAGTTTATGAAAATATTCTGGATTATCTGCTTATATTTGCCACTGTCTTACTTTTTAGCCTAAACTAATGGGATCAGGGAGAACAGGGAAGATTCTTCAAAGATACCCCACCACTATTAAAGTGGCTTTTCAGACTTGAATATGACATTTGCACCGTTGGGAGTTTGGAACAGGACATAACTCTGGGGGACATTCTAAGAGGAGAGATCCAGATCCTTTTTAAAAGAAACTTTTCACATGCTTCAAACACCGCAGAGCTGGGGGACTGGTCTGCCACTGCTGTAACAAGAGGGGCAATGAGCAAACTGTCTGGAAGATGCTTGCACAATATTTCCTAGCTGTGGCCATGACTTGAAGTCCCTTGCCGTCCTGAGCACAGGAGCAAACTCTGTGGACTGACACTGCCTCACAGATGACTGGCAGGGAAAAAAAATCTTCAGGGATTATATTGCACCTCCACCCACACTTGCAGTCCCAGAGTCACCACAGAAAATTTAAAAATATTCTGCCAAATGTTTTCACAGATTTTTTAGGCTTTTTTGGATTTAACCCCTGTTTTGATTCTTGATTTTTTTTATTTACTTTATTTTTTGGTTCCTGTCTCTCTTAACAATGTCTCCCTTATGGACATTGTCCATAGGAGCTGGATATGTTTGGACACTCATCCAGAGATTGCCTTAGCAGTACTCACCTTGCAAGTTTAATGCTTTCACCTCCACACTTTTGCGAGCTGGGTCTTTATTTAGCACTTTTTGATGGGAGTCAAACCCATCTGTATTTCAATATCTCTTGAGGAGAGAGAACGCAAGGCAAAGACTGCATTGCAGGAAAAAAAACAGCAAAACAAAACAGCAAAGCATGTGCCTTGTCACTCCTCTTCCTGCTCCATTTTTAAAGTTCTGAGTTGAGAGACCARCCTCTACCTGCTCCTTTTCAGGAGTAAAATCACTGAACCTGAGAGGTAGCCTGAAATAAAATCAGAGTTTTTATTTCTGAGTTAGGAGGCAGAGGCTTTGGCCCTCTGCTTTTTACACCTTTGCAAAACTTTTGAAGAAAACATGGGGCTTTCACATCTTTCTGCAGCATGATGCTATGTCATCTCTGTGTCAGGTCTACCAGGGTGTCTGGTTAAAGAAGAGTGCTAAAGGAGAGAGAGCAGTCCGTCTAGGTTGGCTAATTCACTCCTCACCTTCAGAAGAGAGAAATGTGCTTGGGAAATGCTCCCAGCTCCTGCTGGCCCTCAGCAATAGGGGACTGTATTCTGTCCATGTGATGGTTCCCCCCACAACTGGGGCGTGGAAGTGCAATAACTTTGATGTATAGTCAACAGTTCTTGTAGGAAGTTTATAATGTTCATTTATCAAGACGTTCATTGTGTGTATGTCTGGAGAAGAATGAAAGCAACAGTTTTATTCCTTTAGGAGCAGGTTAATCCTGTTTCAGCAGTTCCTGTGCAGAGAGGTTAGCAGCAGAGGCAGAGCTGTTGCTTTAAGCCCAGTGCTATGAGGTGCATTCAAATAGAGTTTCACCTCGACACATGCAGTACATCACCTTGACTCCTGTGGCAGGTCCATTCTTCAGTATTCCAAGAGAACCCCTAAACAAATTACCAATTACATTCTCTGCTTTAATTAACCAGAAAGGTGGGGCATATGCTCCTGCTTGACTGTGCGCCACTGCATTAAATAATCTCCGGAATGATTGCAGACCCAGAGAACTGGGGCAGTGCTCACTGTTGATCTGCATAGGTCTGTGATTTACCTCCAGATCTCCCATGCGAGTGGTAAGTTGGGTGTCATTTCAGCCAGCCCCAGTGAGGTTTTTGWGCCTGGGTGTGAGGAGACTTGTGCATCTGTTACAAGCAAAGGAAGCCCCGTGCAGTTAAGCACTGGCAGAGAGTTGCTCAGAGTCTTACAACATCTGGGCCCTGTTTTTAAGATCTAATATTGAAGCAAAGAGCATATTAAAAATTTGTGCCACAGAGGGAAGCATTGGCAACATGACAGGAGCCCAAAGGTTGTGCTCCATTTGCATATGTATTTACATAATTGCAAATGTATGAGATGCACATTAATAATCACCACTTGCATCTTTATCATTCTCAATAAGTACAGGGAAAATTTCTTGCTCTTGGAGTTCATCAGCAATAAAAACCTGCAGTGTCCTCATTCTATAGATGCACAGAATTAGGTAGACCTTGGGGGGACATATTTTATGATTCTGTTGGATGTCTCTACCCTTAAATCTCTAGTCCTTAAAGTTTAGCTTTGGGCTAGTTCTGGGCAAGAGAAATTAACTATGAGAGAAAAAGTACTTTGAAATTTTAATGATGGTTGTGGTATTTTAAGGAACTTAGAAAAAACAAGCACCTGGATTCTGTTGAATTTCAGCAGAAGTTCCATTGCTTCTTGCTRCATTTAAAGCCTCAGCAAATCTCTGTGAGACATGAACAAGGATTAGCATGGTTCTTTTGGGGTATTCCTTTGTGCAAGACCTTAGCTGAACTGATATGGAGTGGTGTGTCTGGTAGAGTTGGTTGCTATATGTGTGTAGTCTGATACTGCCAAGAAGACCTTACTGGTCAAATAGAACAGGAAAAGGGTGGAAGAGGGAATTCAAGGAGAGAGGATTTTGGATGTTAGGTCGGGAAAAAAAAATGGGGGAAAAAGGTTTCTTTTTCAGCTCCTTGTTTCTAACCTTATCAATTAACCTACTTCCAACCTCAGTTTATATTTACTTCATAAAGTTGATCCTTATGATACCACTCTTTTTCATTATACGATGGAGAAATTACAAATTGCTACAAAYCCCAGGGATGTTAGTATGCAGAATGCTCTGAAAGTGAATAAATGATGTGGTTATCTCTTGTAGAAAGGATGAAAATGTGATAGCCTTGCTTTTGACAGCCTTGTGCTGTTCCATCCTGGAAAATCTGGGCGTTGCTCATGTCCATCTATATTTTTTTTGTTACAGTTGGCCAACAAATGGGAACTGACAATAACAATTCAATAACTTTGGGTTTTTTTGAGTTTCTGAATTTTTTTTTTGTTCCCTTTCATGATGACGTCTTTTAACTTTTTCAGAGCTGGGGATGGGAGGATATGATTACATCCTTCCCAAGCATTCAGTGTCTAGTCACTTGGATAGAAATGACTTCTGGTGAATTGGGAAAGTTGTGGATGTTGTCCACAACTAGCAAATTAGCAAATTAGCATTTCTATCTAAAAACTAAAAGATCTATCTATAAGGATCATTGCTCTTGTTCTGTTATGCTTTCTATATGTGCAGTATTTATGGATTATTGCTTTATTTCGTGAAGTCAGGACTAGTTTTGCACTTAGCACTGCAGTATGAGAGTGTAAGGTCTCTCTTGGGGTATTGGATCTCAACTTTTCTCACTGAAAAAGAAAGCCTTCATTAACCTGTCAAAGGAACAAATAGCCTTTGAGGCAGAAGACAGCCTATTTATAAGCCTTATTCTGCATAATAGGAATCCTATGATCTTGTAACAAATAATGGTTTTAGGTCCCTGCTTTGTGTTGGATCAATGAATTAATTGCAGGTGATGCTCTGTTCTACTGAGTGGTTTCAAAGAGATGCATGAAACTGCTGTTTTGCATAATTGTCTTAATGCTTCCATTTCAGATGTCTTCAAATGTTTCTAAACTTAACACGTATTGGCCTGAGCAGGCATTGATTGGTTTCTCCAGCACAGAGATTTCAGATTTGTCTTCAATGGGATTCCCTTTTATCCTTCAAATAATGTTTGTGCCCTCAGAGTCATTGTGGCATCTGTGCTCTCCTTGAAACTGTATTGATCATGTAATTAAAGTGCCTTTCAACTTCATCAGGAATTTAGAAGAAGTGAAGCATAGGCTTTCTAGGCTGGTTTCAGAAACTTCACCCTACCCATTTTAATCTCAATTACCCACCTTATTTTTCTATTTACTTACAGATCTTACAGCCTGTCCTCCTCAGAACCTACAGTGCTGCAGAATTCTGTTCTAAACTAGAAGATKTAGATCTTCATGTTTCATTGTGTTAATTCCGGTCTTGCATTTTAGTGGTAGTGTATTTCTGCCTTCCATCCCTAAGGAAAACATGGAGACTCAGTAGGCAAACACATGGAAATGCATTCTCCTGGCTTTTGCTGACTTCCAAGTGAAGCAATTTGAATCATTACAGTATTTTTTATTTAACATTATGCATCTGAAGAAAAGAGGAATGCAATAAACATAATTTACTGTTCAAAAGTATTATTGCTTCACTTCATATTAGCTGTGAATAAAGCCAAAGGTGCATTTGCATGAGGAAAAAAAAACAACAAAAAATGTCTTCAGCAATATATCTGGTTGATTGACCAAATTAAGTAGTACTACAAAGGGAGCCAATAAACAACACACAAAACTGTCAACCGTTCAATGTCTTTTCATGTATGCAGTTTCTTTTGCAGCTGTTACTTCAAAGCCCTTCACAAAGTTATCAGTAGTTTTTTAAAACTGTTTGAGATAGATAGTACAATTGCATATGAAGCCAAATTATTTTGGGAAAGAAAGGGTTTTAAAAAACTTTTTTAACGAGTAAAATACACACTAGTAACAAGAGGAGGAATGTTAAGAGTGAATGTGAGTACACTCTGGCAGAGATCTTCCCAGCTGAGGACTATAAGGCAAAATGCTCCTTGCCCAGAAGTATTTTGTCCAAGATTTCCAAGGTCCAGCATTACCTACAATCTTGTCGAATCTCCTGCTGATCCAGAAGCCAATTTTTCAACTTAATTCCAGCTGAAATTAGAAACCCACATAGAGATCTCAGACTGGTGAAAAAGGCTTGTTATCATGCATGCCAGAGATCATTSTGGCTGCCACATTCTTGACCAAGTGCAGTTTCTTCTAATAAAAACATTTCTGGCAAAACTGTACGTTAAGAGTTAGTGTAATCAAATCTGAATGTGAGGAAAGCATGCAAACTTGCTTCCAAGTCAGCAAGAGTTAGGCAGGATTTAATCCTCCATGTATTTTTATTATGATATAAAAGGCTGTTATATTAGATTTTTAATACATTTATCAAAAGGAAACTGCAAATCCAAGGTTACTTCCAAATTTCCCACTGATATAGGAATGAGTATCTGAGACACTTCTGAAGTGAACTAAGGCAATGGGATTTTGTAGCATGGATTTAGCTGCCAGGAGACCAGCACTCAGATTTGACTTTTAACCAGCTCATACTAGACCTATGAAAACATGTTCCCTGAACATTTGCTCAAGCACGAAGTTGTTTTATTTATTTATTTATTTTTGTGTGTCTGCTTTATTGGCTTTTCAGGAACATTTTAGCAACTCATTGGATCTCCTGGGATGACAAAACTAGTGACCTGTCATGCACCAGCAGCTCCAGGCACCAAAGCCAGCACCATTTACTTAGACGCCTAAGAATAGGAGGGAGCAGACACTATTAAACATCCTTTTTTAAAAAGAGCTTGGCTCTCATTTACTCATCTAAATAAGGTCCAGATTTTCAGAAGAGCTCAATACTTGCATGCAGAACACTTGTGAAAACACAATCTGCATTTCATGCCTACATTGGAGCTGAAGTCCTTTAGAAAGCTGACCTTGTATTTCTTCTGGGACAAAGAATGTTTGGGGACATTGCGGGGTTGATTATGTCTTACGCTGTTTTTTTAGTGGTGTGACTCCATTCAGTATGTGGGGCAGGGTTGCTCTGATATCCTTCAGCAGGCTATGGGTAAGGGACCTTGGATACAAGAAACTTGCATTTTATTCCCTACTCTGCCACAGAATGCCTTGAAGCATTTTCAGAATGTTTAATGGGTATTTGAGGGTCAAGGTGACATGGTTCAGCTTTTGAGTCCTAAAAACAAGATATGATGAAGGAAAGTGATTGGAGAGGTAGGTTTTAGAGATTTTGGGAGATTAGGGGGAAAAAGTCTGTGCTGTTTGCAGTATCCCAAATTAGGTAGTGAGAGKGGAAACACTTGCAGTCATGGCTCAGAATTTCATTCTTAGTCTGTATGCTCTGACTTTTTGATTAGTTTGTTTGCTTTTTAGAATTCTTGCCTCCTAGGGATTTATGAGGACAAATACATTAATACTACAAAAGTGTTTGGAAACTAAGCTAATAAAGATTGTATAAATCCCATATAGAGATTATAAACACCAATTTAGAGCAGCCGGCGGGCATCTGACCATCTTTTATCCTGTCTCTGTACAAATTTTTACTGAATGCTAAACAACCTGTCCTGAACCCTGACTATAGTACAGTATCTTTTATCCTGAAAAACCCTAAAACTACACAGCAAATATTACATAAACCATAGAGTGATTATTTTGCCCATCTCTAGAAAGAAGCCTCTTGTGGGTTTGGAAAGTGAAGGAACAGCAGTGTTATGCAGGGAGCATCATTTTTAATCGTGATGCTTTTATCTACACTGTGAAAATCCCATGCCAAAAGCTSTCTAATCTCTGACCTCTTGTGCAGTGATATAATGTAGTTCCTTCTGGGGCATCAGAGATGTTGAGGTCAGCCCTGCCACATATTCTGAATCCCAGATATTAAAGAGGAGAATTGGCATTTCTACCACCTGGTAAAGTTAATAAGACAGCATCCAGACCAACTGTCTAGAGTGCTGTAAAATAATCATGAGGAGAATACAGTTATTTAATAGCAATAAAAGTATAATAAGATCCTTTAAATAGAGTAGCAAAAGTTAAACGAACCCAGTATTAAAACACTATGTGTTATTAGATTTTTTAAAAGTCTATAAAGAGGAGATCCTTTGGCACATAAGTATAAAATCAAATTTAACAAGCAAATTAAATAAGCAATTAGAAGTGGGGATTTTAAACTTCTTTCTAGTCTCAATTGTTCTAATTTAGCAAAAATGGACATCTGCCTTATGTATTGCAAATCCTCTCTAGTGAGGGCTATGTCTGAATGACATTACTGAAGCAATTGTCATTTTTAGAATAAGATGGAAGACTTGATTCTCAGGGTGGGTGAGTTTCCCCAAATTGGCCCTTTCTTTGGTGGGAGCCTCAGCCCAGTGAGCTTGGTGTTTTGGCATGGGTGCACTTTCCAGTGCTCAAGTTAGTTTCCCCAGTGTCCTGAAAAGACTGCAAGAGTCACTGGATTTGGAAGAGGAAGAAATCTAGGGCCTTGTAAAATATGCCTTTGCCAGTGGTAGGAGACCTGAGTTCCAGTGGCAGCTCCAAGGCTGTCTAAGCATTTCTCTTGGAATAGCTGAGCAAGCAAAGCAGCAAAGCCTGAGGAGCCTGGGGAATTCAAAGGAATCAACTGATGTGCCTTCAGAGTTCTTGCAAGTTTTCTGCTTGCTGTTTTGAGCTTAGGAATCTAAATTACCTTTGTCTTAAAAAATGTGTTACACCAAGTGAGAGGCATATTTTCTGTTGGATGAACTCTCCCAGGAAACCATAGTGTCTTTCTAGCTCAGCCACTGGGATTTTACTGCCAAGTTGCATGCAGCATGTAAAGTTCTCGGATGCTATGCAGTGAAGCAGCTCAATGACTGATGTGGCTGATATTCACATTTGCACCATGCCATTTGAAGAATCTGCTCACTTCTATATATAGCTATATATAGCTATACAGAGGATGAACATCCTATCTGGTTTTCTAATTGACGAATCTGTTGYGGACGTCCTTAAAATGCAGCAGGAATTTTAAGCCATTCTGTTCAAGTGTTATTACCAGAGAGATTTTGCAGATTTGGACCGGTGTACTGCCATCCCTGGCAATTCTTTGTTGATAATGGACTCCATCACCATTAAAGTCTCTGTTTCTGCAATTGTGAAAAATGTCATGGATAGTAGCTGACCAATGGAGTAAAGACAACCAGCAACTTTAGAGGAATAGAGAGTTTCAGCCTCATTTTGCTTTGCTATTTTCTTGCAGCATCCCATCCTGCACCAGGAAGATGTCCTGGTTTAACTCTGTGCTCTATAGTAGCACAGCCACAATGGCAGGCTTGAAACCAGACATGCCCCTTTTCCTTCTCCTCTGTATGACCAAATATTTCCCTTTAGCTTTTTTATTTTTACAAAGAAACTTTTATCCATAGCCACATGTGTGAAACTCTCAAATGGGCTGTTTCAAATCTAGTCAAGGTCATTGAAAAAAAGTGGCTAGGGCTCTTAAAAGTCTTTTTGGATTCCCCAGAAGCAAAAAGCAGCATTTACACTGTAAGCCTTACAGATCAAGGATTTGAGTATCTTTCAACATCCTAAAGCCCATGCAGACTTTAAACTGGTATTCCCAGCTCATTTGCCAAAAGAAGAGGAGGAAAATGAAATGAACTGCAAGCTTTTGCCTTGAGGTCTGGTGCAACAGCCCTTCTGAAGTCTGGAGTCAGAATTGTTCCAATCTATGTAAATATTGGGAAATTAAATTCCATATGTCCCATGCCAGATGCTCCCAGCTGCTGCTGCTGTGTGGGGAACAGTAAGTAGACAGTTTAGCTGTGTTGGGAGCTGGGAGGAGGGGAAAAAGCCATTCCTTGAGCCAGTGGGAGGAGGCTGGGTTGTTATGTTGGGGTCGGGAGGGTAATGTGTACAAGTGACTATGCCAGTGATCTGACAAGCCAAATCACTGGACAGTTGCAAGTTCCATGTGAGGCTTAAACCTGGAAGATCCCAGTGAGAGCATTGCAGTGCTTGGCGTGAGAGCTCAACATTAATGTATATTGTTTATTTCAGAGCGTATTGAAAGTTTATGTGTACAGAAAACGGTCAGGTTTGGATCACAAGTGGATGAATCGGCCTCAGGATGGCTGGAGAAAGCAGGAAAGGCCCTAACATGTCCTGCTTGTTGCCCACCTCCCTGGTTCACCCACCACAGCCTGTGTTTTCCACCCCAGTCTTGGCCTCCCGGCCAGCCCTTAGACTTCCCTCATGGCAGGTTTGCACGCTGCTTTAATAGGTTTGTTATTCTTGTCAGGAGCCTCTCACTGGAGGAAAAAGAAGTAAAGCAACCTAGCAAAGCAACCACAAATTTAAATGACCTGTTCTTAAAAAAGCACACACACCCTCATGAAACTAGAGAGC